TGTGTTAGTTACAGGATCAGAGAATGACACTTTTCCTCTGTCATAGTCCAGCTGAACTCTCACACGCTGGAGCTTCTGTTTAACAGTGAACATAGTGTATTGCTCTGGGGATTGTGAGCTGTATTTGCTGTCCATGAACCGCACACGCCAGACATTAGACTTAAAGAAAACCAGTCCCTTCCTTTGGTTTGATGCTGTGGTTATTCCAAGACTCCAGTATGTATTGTCGCCAACCTCCACATCCCAGCAGTGTGTTCCTGAGTTAAAGCCCTCAGATCCCAGGACACATGGAAACTCATCAATCCTCTCTGGATTATCAGGAAGTGTTTTATATACACCACCGTACGACACACTGGTCAGATCAGCAGAGAGTGTGAGACAAGGACCTGCTGTGTTTGGATCCAGAGTCACCGGAGCTGCAAAGAGAATAACATCAGATTACAGGATGAGATATTATGTGTTAGAAATGTAAATAAAGACTTTGTTGAAAGAAATCAGAAATCATAAATCATAACAATGGTCTCTCAGTTACTGTCAGAATGGATTGAGGCTTCAGGTTTAATATCAGTATTCAATAAACACTATTGTATCCTAATACATAAACATAGATCATGAGGAATAGACTTTCATTATGAGTTCGCTGTATGATCTGATGATCTTCTGAAATACAGTTCAGATTCACTTGTAAATGATTAAATATATTTCTATCAAATGTTGATGTTGTGTGTGTTTATATCTGAACTATCTTCTGCTCTGTGTCAAATCTGCGAGACTCACTGTGTTGGACAGTTTCCAGCATCTTCTTCCCGACTCTGAACGGCAGGTTACCCAGATAACGCGACACATGAATCAAAGCTCCAGAACTCATCCGTGGATCCGGCTGTGAGATCTGGACTCTGAGGAACATTCAGGAGTCAGAACTGCAGTGAATTTGAGTTCAGATCCACTGAGAGAAGAGATACGAGCAGCTCACTTACCTTTCCATCCAGACTTTATACTTCTGGAAAATATAGAGACGGAAAACATTTTAATATCTTATCACACACTCTCACTGTCAATGAGTCTCTCTATACAAGTTGTTTTATACACAGAGAATGAAGCCAGATTGATTTGTCACCTTTAGAAACGAGACGTCATTGTCTTTCATCATCTCCTCCATGTCTCTGAGTGTGTGTGAAAGAGCTGAGATGTGTGTGTTCATCTCCTCCAGCTTCTCCTTCATCCTCTGCTTCTTCTGCTCCTCTTCCTCCCTCAGTGCAGTGATTGTAGCTTCTTCTTCATCTCTGAGAAACTGATGAAGCTTCTCAAACTCTTCTTTAATCTGACGCTCTGTGTGCTCAGCTTGAGACTGAAATCACATCACATTCACTTCAGTCAGCTTTGTATGAACACACACTCCACTAATGTCAGTAATAAACTCTGTGTGTGAATGTTGAGTGTTTAACTCTTTATATCCTCACCTTGATGTGTTTAATTGTTTCATCACACTTTTTCTTCATTTCTTCTCCATGTTTGAGCTTGTTTTGTAAGGACGTCAGCGCTGTATTAAATTCCTCCTGCAGGTTCAATTCAATTCAATTCAATTTTATTTAAGTATAGCACACTACAACCAAGGTTGACCAAGGTAGATACACAACACAAGATAGATACACAACAATGCAATACTCACACGATAAAATAATAAAGCACTAAAATATTCTATAAATGAGGAGTAATAATATTTGCATAAAAGATAAAAACAAAAATTATTATAAAATTGTCAAGAGGGATACCAAACCTAACTCGAATGAAACGCCAAGGAGAATAAATAAGTTTTTAGCGATGATTTAAAACATTCTATAGTTGGACAGGTTCTGATATGGAGAGGCAGTTTGTTCCACAGTGTAGGAGCAGCTGCGCTGAACGCGCGATCACCTCTAGTTTTAAGTCTGCTTCTAGGCACATCTAGGAGGAGGACATTGGCAGACCTAAGCACTCTAGCTGGAGTATGGACATGGCGAAGCTCTTTTAGATACAATGGAGCCAAACCATTTAGGCATTTAAAAACTAGGAGTAAGATTTTAAAATTGATCCTGTAATCGACCGGGAGCCAATGAAGATGACGCAATACTGGTTAAGATGAAGATGAAAATCAGTTAAGGTTAAGATGAAAATCAGTATTCAGCTATAAGAGATTTAAACATTGTTTGGATGTTTTTATTGTTATATTATTCATATGTTGAATTACGGAGCCCCTGCATGATTTACTTTATTGTCTTGTATGTCCTGTGTGGGGCTCTGTGTTGAATGGGTCTATGTCATGAAGCATTTGTGCTTGAAAGTTGCAGGACATATATTTTTAATTATATCATTTTGGAAAGGTTGAACATCAAGAAATTATTCATCAAACAAGTGTGTTTTTAATGGCCAATTCTTACTTAATAAATAAATCACATAAATCACATAAATCACTTAATTAATAAATCACATATCATTAATGCAATAAATATAAATAACCCATGACATCTCTATTTTTGAAATGCCGTCTCGGAGTTAACACCGGTGAAACGGCGGACATTGTTCTCGCCGCCCGCAACAGGCAGGGGCCGTTGTGAACACACACAGCTGAGCCCACAGACTTCTTCAGTAGCTCGTCTTCGGCGCTGGGTGCAGCTTTCCTCCGCCGAGACACAGTCAGGGAAGCAGCTTGACCTGCTGACCCTTTCAGGACGGGGCCTCTATAAATGGTTTTACTGCAATGGCCATGCAAGTGTACATTTAATGAGGTGCTCTGAAAATAATAAGCTGATGGTTCTTTACATAATTAAATGGATCTTTTCCATATAGTTGCATCTCCTGCTTCCGGTTTCATTCTGTCACTTACCATTTTACCCATGTACAGTATGTGTGATTGTGTGTGTTTAGATTAGTTATGTTTGTGATTTAGTTAATAAAACTTGTGCACAATACGTATTTGTTTCCGATGATCTGTCCTGCAAACAAAGTCTATTTAATGATTCCAGATTCAGACTAAATGCTCTTAGTAGTACTGTACTTGAAGAACCCCAGAAATTAACATTTCTTAATCAATATTGAGGGTGCAGGATGAACTGGTTAATTGGTTGTAATGTTAATGTAGCTACATCAAGTTTAAATCCGTTTAACTGAACCAGATATTCATCATTAATCGGAACAAGTTATGAATAATTGCTACAACTCAAACCCAAAACATAAGTAAACACATGAACAAACATAACATAAAAAGTCCAGGCCTGGTCCTCTCTCATCCTTCACTGTTATTTATGCTTTTGAAGCTCCTCCATGAGAGATACGAGACTGTCAAAATTTTTTACATTTGAATTGCTCTATTTGTAAGTTAACTCAAACTCTCCCACCATCTAGCTTTAAAACAAATCACGAGTATTCGCTGGGTGGGTCACATGATCATGATAAAAAGACTTCCTTGAAGTGATCATTGCATGTAGCTACCCTTCACTAAACTTGAACCAGTTTGTTCACTTTCATTTGAAACACTCAATGGCACTCCTTTCACAAACACCATTTGGATTTTGCCCTTGATGATAGGCTTCTTGCAGAAGATTGGCTGAAGGGAAATAATCTGGCCAGTGTAGAGACTCATGAGGCTTCAGTAGTATTTAGAGGAAGGGTTTTGCGTTAGCAAACGCAATGTCGAAATGAACCGAATCGAAAGAGAACTGTTTCTATGTTTAGCACTGTGTTAAGCATGTGGCATAAGAGACATTTGTCTTACCTTGTGAGATGAAAGCACTTCACTGATGGGTCTGAATGTGTGATTGGTGTGTTTTTCTGAGTTTATGCACACAAAACACACAGGCTGTTTGTCCTCCAGACAGAAGAGTTTGAGTTTCTCACTGTGTAAACTGCAGATCTCCTCAAATCCTGACGAACGTTTCTCATTTCTCTCCTTTATCAATGAATCACACAAGTTTTTTAACGCAAGATTAACTGGAGGATCTTCTTTTGAGGATCTTCTCCTGCAGACAGGACACTCCTGAGTTTTCTTAGTTCTCCAGAACTGTTGTAGACACTCTTTACAAATACTGTGACTACAGGACAGAAAAACAGGAGCCTTGAAGATTTCATAGCAAACAGGACAAGAAAGCTCTTCCACAGATTTTGAATCCATTTCCTCGTCTTGTAAAAGATCCAATAATCTACAATTTACTTTCACTTTCTGAACTTTGGTTTAAAAAAGTAAATAACCATTACAAACAAAATCTCATCTTGTTTCTTTCAGAAATACACAGAATCCAAAAATAAGTCCTCCTCTGTTCTTCACAACACTGACTCGTTTTAGCTTTCAGTAAAAATGAAAGGTAGAAATAATAAGACTAGTCACTTCCTGTAGGTTTAGGGTGGAGTTTCTGAAGACAGGCAAACAGGTAGGCTATTCATATTTATTTTATTTGTACTTTCAAGCATAGTCTACACTCAATGAACTAGCATAATCTGTATATAGCATAATGTTATAAAATAACATAATTGGGCTAAGTAAAATGATAATTATAATTGTATAATTATTTGTTCTGGTCCTTAGGTGGTCCCAAATGCTTATGAGCCGTCCAAACACTGATAGGCTAACCGCTTTTTTTAGGTTGAAGTTTTAAGTTTGAAAACTTTAACCCAAAACAGTGGTTATTATAAGTTAAGTTATATTAGTTGTAATTGATTCATAATCTTTGATGACAGCAGCCATTTATTCTCCATTAAATGTATGAATCCATTAAAATCTGTCATTTTTAATATTGACTCTCTTGTGTGCAATTTATCCTGTCTTTTAACAACAACAACAACATAGTAGGCTATTATCATTTATGGTCATTGGTATTATTAGCTGTTTTAGGCTCTTTTTGATGGTACATGGTAATGGTAAATGAACTAAATACTGCAGCTAAATACTAAATTTAACTCACAACTGCAGAAGTAAAAATAATTCATGTTTTATTTTGCTTTGTAGTTTCACAGGTTGTGAGATTAGATCTGTAATTTCGATCAGGCAGTAATTTAGACAGTTGACGTAGAGGTCCTCAGAGCCGAAGCGCATGTGATGTGACGACGAATACTGCGCGCGCGAGCTGCTGTGAAGTAAGTTACTATACGTGCTACGTAAATTTTATTTTTATTTTCCTCTGATATGAAGTGTTTTATTCCACATTATAATACATTATTTAGTGAGTCTGTCTTAGTTTTAAAGTAGGAACGTGGGCGATGTGATTGTGCTGAAGTGCGCGTTTAGTGAACGTAATGAACTGTCGAAGAACGTGATGAAGTTAGCTGTATTATACAATATCGCTTATTTTATCGCTTTTTAAACAACCAATAATACTTAGCGTTTATCTCTAAAGAAACACACTCACACACACTTCTATAATGCTTTAGTTTGTTATCATCTGATTGTAATATCATCATGATATTATCATGTTATCGCTGCAGGCTAGTTGGACACCAAAACACTGGCTTTCTCCAAACCTAGTGAGTTTCCTTATAGATAGATAGTATGAGTCATCTTAGCCTCAAAGCCTAGTGAACATAACGTTAGCTACATGTTTGGACGCAAAACCTTGTAAACTGCTAATTCTGCAGCTTTTACTAGCCGTTTTTTTTTTCATGCTGCGTTTTGTGTAGTGTATTGAGCGGACTAACGTTACATCAATAACATTTGTGGGCACTGGGCATCATAGTCTAAATGAATGAGCTAACAGTTGACTCAGCACACATCTACTGTACAATGGCCAATACAAACATTAGGTCTAGGTGGACAGCTAATATAGGTTTTGAGAGTCAACAGCTCTCTCTAATATGTGTCAATATATTTCACATTTAGCTTTCCAGTTGACTAAAATATGTATACTGTCTTATAGACCATTTTGCAAGATGTAAACAACACTGGTCCAGAAACACTTCAGTTTGTAACTGTTTTCTTTATTTCACATGTAAAGAAAACATCTTAAAGATGTTTGTTTAACTTTTTGATTCAGTTTTATATGTACTGTTGGTTGTATTTTATCCCAGCTTTTATGTAGTGTTAAAAAACTGAAACAGGAAGTGCTTCTGGACCAGTGTTGTTTACATCTTGCAAAATGGTCTATATCCACTATTCTTAAAATTGAGAAAAATCGAAACAACAGATCTCAAATTGGAATATCGCATAACATTTGCAAATCGTTTCTATCCAGTGAGCTGAGGAGAACAAAATTGGCACTTCATGATAAATTGGCACTAAATATCACTAAGAAAAATGAAAGTTGCTGCAATTGGTGTTTCCATCCAGTGTTATTTTATGAGATATTCCAAAATGTTAAAAATGGATGTATGGAAACATAGCTACTGTTATTTCACTCTTAGTTCCCCTCTTGTCGTCATTTACAGGGTCTTTTGAGGCACTATGGCGTTTAACTTTGGACAAGCGGGCACTGGGGGCTTTAGCTTTGGACCCCCCAAAACTACGGCGGCAGCCCCGACGGGCTTCGGCCTGCAGACCAGCGCTCCTGCAGGGGGGGGCTTCTCTTTCGGGGCCAGCCAACCCCAGACTCAGACCTTTGGCCAACCCCAGACTCAGACCTTAACCCAACCCCAGACTCAGACCTTTGGCCAACCCCAGACTCAGACCTTTGGCCAACCCCAACCCCAACCTCAGACTCAGACCTTTGGCCAACCCCAACCCCAGACTCAGACCTTTGGCCAACCCCAGACCCTGACTCAGACCTTTGGCCAACCTCAACCCCAGACCCAGACTCAGACCTTTGGCCAACCTCAACCCCAGACCCAGACTCAGACCTTTGGAAACCCACCGCAGCAGTCTCAGATCGCTGGACTCCTCGCACAGCCCACGCCGAACAATGGAAGCACACAAGGTGGATTCAGCTTCGGAGCCCAGGCTCCGAGCAGCACATCTGGGGGAGGCTTCTCTTTTGGGTGAGACTTTATCTGAGGTGGTGTGTGTGTGTGTGTGTTTTGGGGTGGGGTGTTGGAACTATCCATTTAATAAAGTGATAATAAAGTTATTCTTTAGGAATAAGGAAGTGAGTGGAGCAGCTGGGTTCTGTAAATCCTGTTAGTTTTCTCCAAAAGGAATAATTGAATTTACCCTAAAACCGTTAAAAATTGACTTACTGTGAGCTACAATGTTGTAAATCGATGGTAAATGATTTTGTTAAAGCCATCTGTTTGCATTATTTCAACTAAAAAAGTATTTAAAATTAACAAAAAATATTTGTTAAACAGCAGAATTTCTGTTGAAAACGCTTTTTATTTCTCCATTTTTAATTATATGTTTATTCTCAGTGCTTCATGGGATTGTAGTTCCTTCCCTCACCAAGTACCTTTTTGAATGATTTCAAATACTTTTGTTTCAGATCAAAGTTTGTAATGATGTGATTCATCTTGGAGCTAGTTGGCTTGTTCATGGCTTTAATTAAGACTTTTTTTTTTTTAAAAATCTCTATGGGAAAAATTTGAGATTTTTTTCTGAAACCAAGGCCACTATAAAAGTGGGCAGTTTCACTGTATAATTAACCTGAATGTCATCTATGTAGCAAATTGACACATTAGGAATTTTTGCTGTGTTCTTGCTTGATTTCAAAGTGAACTGGCTCTTTCCAAACCCTCAAAATGCATGGGATGCATATTATCCATCACGGCTGTTTTATGATGACTTTGGACGTGCCTCATCCAGTCAGATTTTTGAGTTGGAAATATACATTGTATAACTGAAAAATGACAGTGAAACAATAACATGTCTGTTATATTTAAAGTAACTGATATATGTAATATTTATATATTTAAAGTCTGTTTATGTCTTTGCATCCAGCGCCTCCCTTCCTAAACTCAGCACACCTGCAGCAGCTCAACCTGTGACCACAGGCATGACTCTGGGGGCTTCACCTGCCGGGACTGGCTTCACTCTCGGAGGTCTGGCTCCACAGACTACAGCGGCCCAGCAGCCTATGGGGGGATTCAGCTTTGGGGCGGCCAAAGTTCAGGCGGCCTCCGTTGCCCCGACACAGCCCAGCCCTGCGCTCTCACTGGGGGTTCAGCCCACAGGTCATACAGAGTTACATTTGTCTTGACACCCAGTTCACAATATCAGATTTACTAAACAGGGCAAATCAGCGTGACAGCACAATCCTATAAAAGCGTTTATGGGAGAGTAAAGTTTTGCTCATGATCTACTGATGACACAAATGAATCTATCAAGACCAGAGAATATTAGCATTTTGACTTTAAAGGGGACCTATGCAATATTCACTTTTATAAGGTGTTTAAACACTGATGTGTGTCTACAGTGGGTGTAAACAAACATCCTATAATGGTAAAAATCCATCTACTCCCCATAATCTAGATGCGGTGTCTGAACTAGGGCTGAATGATTATGGAAAATAATCGAATTGCGATATTTTTTTTTTTTTTTTTTTTTTTTTTTTTAACCAATATTGCGATTGCGATTTAATATGTGATTAAAAAAAATTCTTTACCTTCTGTATTAGTCGACAAAGACAAGCAATAAATCATTGTACAGTAGGGATGGGAATCTTTAGGCAGCTCATGATCCGATCTACTTTTTTTTATTAATTAATCTTAATAACACTTAAAATATCTATTTAATTATGTGTGTAAAAACACATACTTTAAAAAAAAAAAAACATTTAATTAAACCAATGTTAAGAATATTAAATGGGCTGTATAAAATAATATATCTTCAAATATAAAAGCTAGTAAATAAAGAGAAACAAAAAAAAGCATTACAAGCAATAAAGAAAGAGTGGTCTCAGTGTTTAAAAGTAGGCTGTCTGAATGTTTATCATTCAAGAGCTGGAGTGATTTTCCCCCTCAGTTTAGATACGATAAGCTGCATTCACACTAATGCACATATCTCTTGAAATTGTAAATGTGGTTTGTCCTGTTGGTTTAAGATATAACCGTGTTTACATTAATTTCGCATCATAAATGCATTTTGACATGCAAGTTTATGCACATTTAACCAATGATTCGCTCACGGCCGCACGCACGAGCGCTCTTCACAAAGCGTGTGTTAGTATTTTAAAATGAAAGCAGCCTTCTCAGTGATTTTCATAGTTTTAATATATAAGCCAACTGCATTCCAAAAGACATAAATGATGCCTCTGTGAAGCATTTGTAAAGAAAATTCCCGCGGGAGAGAACGCGCACTGCAAGAGTATAACATCAAGCAAAGCGGCAAAACCCATAGAAGCAAGCAGAACACGGTTCGTTTGTGAAGCACGCGCAGCCTCATCACGCATCTGTGTTTAAAAACTATAAGCTCAGACTCGATTCTGAAATTCTCTGAATCGATCCAGGATTGTTGGGAAGAGAATAAATTACACAATATCACATACATTAACTGTTCTTTTCTGAACGCCAGACCGTGTAGCGTGGCAAGTTGATGCTTGATCTTGCAGACTGCTCCCGCGTCTCACGTGACCAGTGTAATCGCAGCTCTTGCGATTACAAAATCGCGTTTCATCATATCGCGATTTTATCGCAAATGCAATTAATCGTTCAGCCCTAGTCTGAACATAGTTTGTAACACTAACACACTGGTCCCTATATGAAGGATATATACAATTATGTTATATGTATTTATTTATAGGTCTGACTCTTGGGTCTTCAACTGCCTCCACAGCCTCAACAACCGCAATTAACTTTGGAATTAAAACTTCAGGTATGTAATGTGTAGTGTGGATATTCAAATATTAGAAAAAAAAATGATTGTACAACATGTTTGTTTTGTGTTATTTTTCAGCCACCCCAGCTCCCGCTAGCTCTGCTTCAACAAGTCAGTCCATGGCGGCTCCAATATCCTCTCTTTTTGCGAATCCTATAGCCTCAACACCAGCCACAGGATTCACATGTGAGTCCCTCATCCACCTCTTGTCATGAAGAAACTTCTACTGCAGTCAAATTCTGGAAGTACACCATTGAAAGAAATATATAACACTGTTTAAGTGGTTTTTGGATATTTTGATACATAATTCTTACATATTGTACCAACTTACATATTGTTTAACTTACTTTAACAAAGATTGATATATGCTCTAAAAAAAACACACATTGCTCATTGTTAGTTCATGTTAGTTGATGCATTGATTCATGTTAACAAATGAGACCTTGTTGTAAAGTGTTACCAATTATATATATATATATATATATATGAAGAGTTCAGATGCAAAAGCCTCTAAATGCCATTTGAAATTTTCTTCTTTAATGATGATTTTTATCAAACTTGTATATTTAAGTTCAGTAATTTCACTTAAATAACAATTAATAGGTAATTAGCATTGCCATTTAAGTGAAATCACTGAACTTAAATATACAAGCTTGATAAAAATGATCATTCTAGAAGAAAATTTCAAATGGCACTTAGAGGCTTTTGCATCTGAACTCTTCATATATTAACTTGCCCATTAACCACAAACAATTGGAAAAGTAATGTAAGTGCATTGGACAAGGGGTGGGAGCGCTCTTGCCATCATTTTGGATTGTTCTCTAGGAATCAGCATGAGATAACATGGTCTTCTCTGTGCTCTGTCAGTGGGCGCCTCGATGGCCTCCGTGGCTCCTGTGATGACCTCAGCATCCATCGCTCCCACAAGCCTGTCCCTGAAGCCTCTGGGAGCGGCTCCTGCTGTAACCTCAGGTGCCCTCACTAGTGTTGGGTATCGTTTGAATTTGAACGATTCTGATTCCGATTCCTTGTTTCGATTCCGGTTCCTAACGATTCTCGATTCCGATTCTTTTACGAGGCAGGGTCAAAAAAGTTTAGCTAACCTTGCTAACCAACGGTCTTTCTGAAGGAAATAATCCTTTCTGAAGGAAATACTCCTTCTGTCACAAATTTTGCATTTCGCCGAGATTTCGTTATTTTTAGAAAAGTGAAGCCACACTTTGGATCGCCGACGTAAGCTACTCATGTTCGACTCGCGTGGTTATGCCAACACTTCCGGTTGACGCTTCTTCGTTGGTGTTGTTCAGCGGTTTCTTCTTCCGCTCGGCGGACTGTAGGTGCGTTCCATTCGACAGGGTCCCTACCAGGGCCTGAAATTAACTTTTTTGGCCACCGGCCACTGTGGCAGGTGGTTTAAAAAATTCACCTGCCACAGAGACTTTTTACCAGCCACTTTTTTTTTGCCTCAGCCAAAAAATGGCTGGTAAAAAGAACAATATTGTGAAATTCCTGTTTTATTTTTTTTTCAAAGGTGAAAAAAATGGGAATTTCACAATATTGTTCTTTCACTTGTAAGAATACACATTTAAGTGCTGTCAAGTAATAATAATAACTCTAAGAACATACATTTAAAAAAAAATCTTTTAATTCATTGATTTTGATACTCACACAACATAGGCTTATAGGCTATATAGTATATACTCAACAGATAGACCTACCGCAGCAGCTCGTATGTAAACAAATCACACGCGGCTGTGTTGATGGCTGATTTAGTCACGTAGACAGATCCTGACAGCTTTTAGTTACAGCGCTCAGGAACCGTTAACTATGAACTAAATTAATATTGTTATTACTGGTAAAGTTACCGGGTAACGTTACCGGATATTTTCTCACTGGTTCCCAACTCCCAACATGCACAGTTGCACACGCACACACACATCTGTGCAACTGTCATTGTACTGTAGGCTACGTCAGCGTTACATTATCTCATCCCATCTCACCAACAGTTTAATACTCGCACATCCAAACGTAGTCAGAAAAGGGCCTCGTCTTCTTCTGATCGCATGAACGTTCCGAAACAACAGTCGCTGTCATAAATCAGCCGCTCACGAACCTTGCCATTGCCGCCAATTGTCCACTTTGTATTAAAATGTCTTCTTTTACTTTTCTTTTTTTCATCCTCATATTTTTGTTTGTTTGTTTGTTTCAGCTGGCCTCTTTACCCCAGTAATGTGCCGCCACATTTTAGCTAAAGTCAAACGCAATGGCGAACTTGTTGAAATGTAAAAATCCTAATGAATCACTCAATTCTCATTGGCTACCTGCCAATGTGGCAGGTAGATTGACAATGTTACCCGCCAATGGAAAATTTCACCCGCATTTGGCAGGTGGTCGGGTGTTAATTTCAGGCCCTGGTCCCTACACAAGTGTTCACTGCTCCCTACTCCCTGAACACGGTATATCAGTTGAAGTGGACTTCACTGACTTCCTGTGAAGTGATGTATCAATGTTCCCTTATTCCCTATGCCGTTTGCATTGCCCTTTGAACCGAACATGTTCGTTCCCTTCGAATTGGAATCTCACTTAAGATGGCAAAATACCCTGTGAAGTTCACTTCGCAGTCCACTTACGGTCGAATGGAACGCACCTTGTGAATATCGAAACTAGGAATCGAAATTTTAACTTTTGAACGATTCCGGGAAAAACGAAAAGTTAGTCTCGGTTCCAATCGATACTCGATTCTCGATTCCCAACCCTACCCCTCACTCACGCTCATTAATGCACGATCAACAAATAATTGAGGCCTAAGTACAACTATTAAAAGAGCTCTCGTTAAAGCTATTTTCCTCTGTTGTTTGTATTATTTGTGTGTGACTGTGTGTGTCTTATAGCTATTGCTAGCACTGGAGTTAGTACTGGCTTTTCTCTGGGGCTGAAGACTATAGCATCCACTGCACCAGCCACCACCACCTCGACCTCCGTCCTCACAACCAGGTACAAAGCTTTCCACATGTGCCATCTTTTCCTTCTTCAAGTTGCAGAATGACATTCTTGCGTTGTCTTCTCTCAGCACTGCTCCGGTGATGTCATATGCTCAGCTGGAGGCTTTGATCAACAAGTGGAGCTCAGAGCTGGAAGACCAAGAACGACACTTTCTCCAGCAGGCCACTCAGGTCAACGCCTGGGACCGCATGCTGGTGGAGAACGGAGAGAAGGTAGAGACGTACACTGTTTTCTCTTACTGCATACACCATCTTTGCACTGGTACAATTACAGCAACATCAAATGATGACATGAGCAATAAAGAGACCAGAGCCTCTCTCTCTTTCTCTATTTTTTTATATCATTGAAGCTATGAAAACCTTTTCACAATATTATAATTTTGAATTTGGGGTTTTCATAACTATAAGCCCTTATCATCAAACTTATAACAAATAAAGGCTTGAAATATCTCACTTTGCATATAATGAGTCAATATGTTTCCATTTTAGGTTGAATTACTGAAATAAATTAACTTTTGCACGATATTCAATTTTTCGAGTTTCACTTGTATATTTATATAACACACACACACACACACACACACACGCAATCAGAATTATTCAACCCCACAGAGATTGAAACAATTTTATTAATTTAAGCTTTTCTAAATATCCAATATTCCAATAAAATTTATAGCTTTTATAACATTTTAAGGTTGGGACACAGCGCACCGACGCCAAAGAACTCATGACTCATGCTAAACTGAACAGCCAATCAGAGTTTTCTTTATCAATGGCCCGGAGAAAAAACGAAAACAACAACGTCCGACTAGAACAAATGAAGCAGAACATACCGTAAAAACTAAGTTGGCAGACGGCTAGGTGTACCCAAAAATTTTAGTTGCAGATATAGCCAAGACAAAAGAGCTCTCACAGAAGCTACGAGAAGATGTTTTATTACATTAAAAAGGCTATGGCTACATGAACATTGATGTTTGATCAGAGCAACTGAGAAAACCCCTTGATATACTGATGAATGTAGGGGAAAAACATTTCAGTGCAGATTATAAGAAAACACCCGACAAGCATCGACTTGATACCCAGACACCTCGACGAACGCCACTCTTGAACGAGAGATCGTGATAGGCTGGCTTGAATATATGCTTAAAGGGAATTGAGATGTGGCATTTATTATAATTTATGGGAAGTTTGTTTTTCATCAAATAAATGCAGCCTTGGTGAGCATAAGAGACTTCTTTCAAAAACATTAAATAATCTTGATAAATCCAAGCTATTGACTGCCAGTGTATATGAACTAAATTCATCAGTGAGTTACAGGTGTTGGCTGTTTTCTTTGGCATGAAGGAAGTGACTGGGCTAGAGATGCGTGTTATTTTAACCTACTGTAAACCCAAACCTGTTGACGAGACGCTGCCTGAACAGGTTTCCAGTGACAAATCAGTCAATTTTCTTTTCTTTTTCTTTTAGATTACTTCTTTACATAAAGATATGGAGAAAGTGAAACTGGACCAGCGAAGGTAATGAATGTTTTACTTGGATTAAAAGGTTATATGTACATGCAAAAACTAAAAACTGCATATTAAGTAATTCACTAAAGCTTGGTTTGGTGGTGGACGAGCATTAATAGGCAAGAGATAATGAACCATCATCCAGTCCTTATTACACACACGCACACAAAAACTAGCACAGCAAGAAATCAGATTCAGAATAAACTTGAATGCCAAGTACGTTTACACACACAAGGAATTTGTTTTGGTGACTGGTTGAGCTTCCAGTGCAGAAAAAAGTACATACAGATATAGATAAGGCAGTGAAAAGAATATAACACACTTATAAAGAAGAGACAATGACATTAAATATAATACTATACAATACAGTAATACAAAATATAGAAAATACACAAGACAGAATAATTTATGTATACGTTCTATTTACAGATGTACAGATATATGCAAACTTAAGTGTATGAAAGTACAGAAGTACATAAGAAAGTATATAAAATTATTATTGTAGGGCTGATCGATTATGTCAGAAATCATAATCGTGATAAGTTTTGGTCAGCACTGCAATCACGATTATTTCACATGATTATTGGTGGGTGATATTATCAACGTCTTATTTTACGATATTAGTCTATTTAAATATCAGCGAAGTTTCACAATTATTTAGACTTCAGCATAAACTACTAGCTTAACTAATGCAAGTAAAAGGTCCTCACCCCTACATAAGACAAGAAACAGTCGGCAATGCAATAAGAACAAAGAAACTAATTACACACAAATAAATACAATAGGATGAAAATACAGATTAAATATACAGTGTTTTAAGTTTTTCAGGAAGATATACTAACAGTGGTGTTCAGATAGTAATAGTAATAGCCTGCAACAAAAATAGACTAATCGATGTAAAATAAAATAACTCGTCATAGTCTTACTCTACACATTAAATATAGATTAATCCTTATTAAAGGTACTTAACCCTCAAACTGTATTCACTTTATAGCCCTTAATCCTGTAATTGTGGACAAATGTGGGCACAGAGGACTCAAAGTTTTGTGTATCTATTTTTTTTTTATTTTGGGGTATTTTTGAATGTATTTACTTCAAAAAGTAGCATATTTTTCTATGTAAATTATGCTTATTTTTTATGTTTTATTAATTAATTAATTTATTTTTTTTAACTACATTAAAATATCATTCCAATAAGTTCTTAGAGCTAAAACCTAAAGATGAAGTGACTGCTGTCACCTGGTGTCTTATTTTGGCTTATTTTAGAATGCTCTAAATTACAGTTTTTCCCATTCGTTTCTATGGGTGCCCATTTTTGACCCAAATACAAGATTAAGGAGGTTTTTTCACCCACTTAACATTGTAGAATTGAGTCAAAAAAAAATTGTGTGTGTTCAGGAGGCAAACTTAGGAAAAGTAGTCAAGTCTTGTACCGCTCAGATCAAGGGAAGTATTTTTAAAAAATAAATAAACTATTTTGCCCACATTTATTTGTCCAGAATATGGTTTTAGGGTTAAGTTAATCAGATCAGTGAGTGATTTTCCTTTGTCATTTGCTGTTTGATTATCCTCAGTGACAGACAGCAGCAGATGTTTTAGGCTGCTGTCACTTTAAGAGCTAGGCATAATGTACGGATCCAATATACTGTTGCACTGTGTGCGTTTACTTAAGACATAATTTTTAAAGAATTTTTATTGTCAAACACGTCCCGCAGTTTAGCAACAGTAGACTGTATTTTACAACACACTGATTTGGATGTAAAGTTTGTCTTCGGGAGGAATGAAAGTGCACCGCAGTGAAGGAATGCAGCAGCGGCACAATCTTTATTAATTCAATTAATCAGTTATGATTAATCGCACATTGTACGCACAATGAAAAGACCCTGTTGGAAGTATCCAATTACTTCTTCAGGTGGGAGAATGTGCTTACTATACAAAAATATTGCAAAAAAATACAGCACTTGACCAGTCACAGTCAAGTATTCGAGAGCCGTGTAATAAGTCGTGCTTATTAAAGCCTAGTTCGCACTACATGATTTTAAAACTTCGGGCTGAACTGTGCGGTTCATGTTGTTGAGCTGTTCACACCACACGACACAACATGATTGATCCGCAACAGGAGGTAACGCACTACACGAGTTGACCACAACTCAGTCACCCAGCGATTCTATCTTGTCTACAAACCACGTTTTGGCACGAAAAAACACGCGATAAAATGAACCGGAAATGACGCGAAACAGCACGTGCGCCAATACCCAGTGAAGAAGACAAAGAACACAACACGCGAATATGGACGTCAGACAGAAACTAGCGCTGCAAACTGTTTGTGCGATGATTTGCTCTGAAAAAAAAACGCAAAAAAAAAGAAAAAATAAGACTTACCCGATGACCTCAACCCATGCCTTGCTCTGATTGGCTGTAGCTCATGACATCATGTGAGGTTGAGTCGTGCGACAGCTCTGGATATCTAGTATGCAAGATATCTTTTTCTAGGCTCGGCGACGTGTCTGCCAGCGTCTTTGATGCGTTGTTGCCTCTAACAGATTGGCGAGCGTTCATCGTCCGCTAATTCCCCGCGATAACACCCTGACCTGTCGCAAGCTCAACGATTTGCATATCGGCCTTAAAATCATGTAGTGTGAACTAGCCTTAAAGGTATAGCAGAGGATCTTTCCGAATTTTAGAGAAGACTCTCCAATTTTTCCAAACCTCACTCAAACCTTTCCAATTTTTTTAAAAATGCACATGCGCAACACTCTATTTACAAAACATATTTTATATTTTACTGCAGAGAAATGCATCAAAGTAGATTGTTTGGAAGGGCATCCAATTATGTTGCAAATTGCAAATTATAAACTTACTCAAAAACATTCATGCAAGACAAAATGTCAAATGCCCTTCCGTGTTTTATTTACTTATACTGATCGATTGAGTGACCGAGGACTCAAGACATGATATGCGATGGAGAAGTAGCTTGTTGCATTTGTGTAATAAATACTTTGGCTAACACATTGGAATTATTGAAAATGAACACACAAGGTTTTAGAATATTTCAGGGTGATACCATTTACCATTTGGTCATAAGGCTACTTAATGCCTTGTTCACACTACATGATTTTAAAACGTCGGGCTGAACTGTGCGGTTCACACTACATCACTTGCTCTCAGTGAAATCACGAGTGTTCAAGTTGTTTAGCTGTTCACACCACACAACACAACGTGATTGATCCACAACAGGAGGTAACGCACTACACGAGTTGACAACGCACTACATAGAGATACAACCACGATCGAATGATGAGAGCAAATCATTTATGACTCAATGAGAGCTGTTTCAGTACTATGGTATGGTCTAAATCCTGAAAATAATCAAATTAATAACGAGTTGTCACCCAACGATTCTATCTTGTCTACAAACCAAGTTTTGTCACGAAAAACCATGCAATAAAACGAACCAGCAATGACGCAAAAAGCACGTGCACCAATACCCAGCGAAGAAGAGAACACAACACACGAATATGGACGTCAGAAACTAGTGCTGAAAAACGATCTGCTATGAGAAAAAAATGCAACAAAATAAACAAACAAATAAACTAAGATTTACCTGGTGTCCTCAACCCATACGTTGCTATTATTGGCTGCACTCATCATGACATCACTGAGATTGAGTCGCGCGACGGCTCTGGATATCTAGCAGGCTAGATATTTTTCTGTGCTCGACGACACGTCTGCGAGCGTTTTCGCTGCGTTGTTGGCTCTTTCATACGAACAGATTGGCAAGCGCTCATCGTCCACTAATCCCCCGCGATTTGCAGCGCGATAACACCCTGACCGGTCGGCGAGCTCAACGATTTGCAAATCGGGCATAAATTGGGCTTAAAATCCTGTAGTGTGAACTTGGCTTTAGACAAATTGAGATGTTTACCGTGTCTATGCGGTGCATTACTTGTGCCAGGGCTAGCATCGCTAATCATAGCTTTCATTAACTTTTACTAGCAGTGATTTTAAATGGATTTCTCCAAATAGCGTGAAAAACTTTACCTGTCTATTAGAGTCTTTGCGACTGCGGCATCAGTGGGAAGCCCAACCTGTGCTTTTAGCGCACGCCAGCGTGTGAAATATTCACTCTGGTCTTGTTTCTATATTCTGCGGCCTTTCTCTTCTTATCATACACTTCGTATACTTTTTTTCTCTTTCGACCCTCAGCTATTTTCAAAGGAATGGCTGAAACCGCAACTCCGACATAATAATACACCTGAAAGTCAAAACTACATGGGGACGAGCACGTGCGACGGCCTTACGTAAACATATCACCAGAATGATTGACACTTAGGTGGACCAATAGTATAGGCTACCCACCCGGAAAGAGAAATTCCTCCGCTATACCTTTAAGATGCTTGAAACGAACCCTCTAAGATATCACCAGACGGCATGCATACTGTCATTTGCTGTGTTTGATGTGAACTGTGCGTTACTCATATCTCAGATAGGGGTATTACTTTATTTTATTTTATTTTTACTCTTAACTGTTTTTATTTATATTGATTGCATTTACTGAATGAGCACTGTGCCACTGTTTGTCCGACTGTTACTGTACATTTTATTTTCGACACTGTATTTTATTTTTATTATTATGATTTTTTTTTTTCTAAACTGTTTTAATTATTCTGACTTCTTTAATTTCTTCCATGTAAAGCACTTTGACTTGCCACTGTGTATGAAATGTGCTATATAAATAAACTTGCCTTGCCTTGTACCACAGGCTGGATCAAGAGCTGGATTTCATCCTGTCCCAGCAGAAAGAGCTGGAGGATCTCCTCAGTCCGTTAGAGGAGTCTGTGAAAGAGCAAAGTGGAACCATTTACATGCAGAATGCAGATGAAGAGCGAGAGAGAACGTAAGAACAAAAGCAGTCCGCTCATGTTTCCTCTGCATGCATTGTGACGTCACTGACTGTTTGAATGATCTCTTTTATTCAGGTACAAGTTGGCAGAAAATGTGGATGCCCAACTCAAGAGAATGTCCCAAGATCTGAAAGAGATTATTGAACACCTCAACACATCCAGCGGACCTGGAGACACCACCGACCCGGTATGCAAAACATGATCCATATTTGATACAGAAAAGCTTTTTATGAATCGTCATGCGATCTGATCAAAGAATGATTTGTGTTTGTGTGTTTTCTAGCTTCAGCAGATCTGCAAAATCCTGAATGCACATATGGACTCCCTACAGTGGGTAGAACAAAACTCTGGTTAGTATCTTTCTTGGATTTAGAGCCTTTTTAATGGAGTCTTTTCGGGTGTGTACACACTTGGCATGTTTGGTTGGATTAAAACAGGGTTTCTCAAACTTTGAGTTTAGCTCCAATTTAATTACATGTGTAAAAACACATACTTTAAAAAAATAAATATAAAAAACATTTAATTAAACCAATTACATGTTAAGAATTTTAAATAGGCTATATAAAATAATATAGCTTCAAAATATAAAAGCTAGTAAATAAAGAGAAACAAAAAAAAAACATTACAAGCAATAAACAAAGAGTGGTCTCAGTATTTAAAAGTAGGCTGTCTGAATGTTTATCATTCAAGAGCTGGAGTGATTTCCCCTCAGTTTAGATATGATAAGCTGCATTCACACTAATGCATATATCTCTTTTGAAATTGTAAATGTGGTTTGTCCTGTTGGTTTAAGATATAACTGACCGTGTTTTTATTAATTTCGCGTCATAAAAGCATTTTGACATGCAAGTACATTTACCAATGAGTCGCTCACGGCCGCATGCACGAGCGCTCTTTACAAAGCACGCGTTAGTATTTTAAAATGAAAGCAGCCTTCTCAGTGATTTTCATCATGGTTTTAATATATAAGCCAACTGCATTCCAAAAGACATAAATAATGCCTCTGTGAAGCATTTGTAAAGAAAATTCCCGCGGGAGAGAACGCGCACTGCAAGTGTAACGTTAACATCAAGCAAAGCGGCAAAACCTGTTCAATGAAGCCCGCGAATGTCCTTGTAATTTGGTTCAATCCCGAACTTTATGAAATAACGTTACTATGTTTTGGAAGGTTAGAGCGGTGTCGTGTGTGTGAGTGAGGAAGAGAGAGAGAGAGAAAATAGAAGCAAGCAGCAGATTCAGAACACGGTTCGTTTCTAAAGCACGCGCAGCGTCATCACGCATCTGTGTTTAAAAACTAAGCTCAGACTCGATTCTGAAATTCTCTGATCCAGGATTGTGGAGGAGAGAATAAATAACACAATATCACTTAAAAATAGACTAAACTCTTTTCTGAACGCCAGACCGCGTAGCGTGGCAAGTTGATGCTTTATTTTGCAGACTGCTTTTCTCTCGCGTGTCACGTGACCAATGTAATCGCAGCTCTTGCGATTACAATATCGCGTTTCATCATATCGCGATTTTATCGCAAATGCAATTAATCGTTCAGCCCTACTTAACATTATGATATGCTGTTTTATTTTAAGTTCACAGGGCTCCAGACCCAAAGTTGAGGGCATCATCACCTCAAATGAGAACTCACAGCGAGTTTTACAAAAAAAAAAAAAAAATTCTGGTAGCACTGGGGCTGACAATAAATCACTAAGCTTAATTTAGGGTGTAGATGAAATTAACTTTAGTTATTATCATTTATAATGTCTTAATATCAATTAATAAAAGTAGTGAAGATATGTATATGGAGTGAAAATAGCCAATAAACATCCTACTGTTAACAATGGTATTTTTATTTTTTTTAAGTGTTTAAATAAGAGTTTTCCAACATCTTAAAATTTTTCGTCTTAGGACTATCTTTAAAGGATGAACAAAAAAATGTGTTGGTAATCACATAAAAAAATACAATATTATTGAAGTGCTGGGAAAAGATGTGTAGTAGGCTACTTGTAAGCATTTGACTATTTCTTGCACATTATCATATTTATGGTTAGAGTTAACTTACTATATTAGCCTAAATGCATGGTTCTGTTAGGCTGATTTGTGGATTCTCCTGGTTTCCACGTCAGCACTGTTTGATCTGATATGGTTTATAACAGAACTCTGCGCCGAATCGGAGTGTTTTTCACTGGATCGCGTGGTGATGATGTTTTTAATTCTGAGGCGAATTCAATGGATTTCTTCACTGGATCTCCTAGTAACAGTGATGCGTGAGCGAGATCGGCCCGCGACTGGCAACTTCGGGGCTTTGTTTTACTGTCAGTGGTTCGGATCGCTGCTGCTGCTCCACGGTCCTATTCATATATGAGTGACATATTTTCGTTCCACTTTCATTTTGTTTGCATTCGCTGCTAGGTAACGACTAACGAGTCGATAGATCGCTGATTGCTCAGACGCACATCAGGTTGTGATATTTGTCTCCGTCTCCTTCCCGCACGCTATTCTTGTCACGGATTCATTGACGCGCCCCTTCCACGCTTTACCATGCGTTTATGTGCCAAAATTTACTGGTCACACATCTGCGAATGGATGTAAAATTCAGTCGCACACTCTCAAATTTTGGTCGCAAAATGCAACCATTTGGTCGCAGTCTGGAGCCCTGTCAAGGTCTTCAGGATCACTAGAAATTCACAGGTAAGTGTGTTTGATCAGGGTTCGAGCTAAACTCTGCAGGACAGCGGCCCTCCAGGACCGAGTTTGAGAACCTGGATTAAAACAAACCCTGGTGTGATTGCTGTGTTAGTGCGGATCATTTGAATGAGTGTGATCTGAACCCTGGTGCCAGGGGCCTATACCATGAAGCCGGTTTAGGTGGCTAGCCAGCTATATTTCAGTTTCGTTTGCGCCAACCCTGGGTTTTAGGCAGCATGAAAGTGGTTTGGCTTTTAGCAGTGTTCATCGCCATAGTAACTTGAGCTCCACAGCTAACCTGGTCCGGGGCAGGTTATGTTCCAGGTAAGAGGTTACAAACCGAACTTGGACCAATCAGCTGTGAGCAAAGTGAAGTCACTTCACCTGTTTCTACTCCAAATTAAAGGTCACTACATAGCAAATGATTTTAAAAGACAAAACCGTGGCTTTTTGTATGCTTTAGAAAGGATTTCTGTAATTATTATACTCTTAAACAATCTCACATGTACGATTTCAGTTCATCAATTATTATTATTATTACGCAGATTTTAAATGAATACGTATATAAAGGTAATATAAATGCGCTTTAGAATCAATAAATGAAGCTATAAAATTACTACATGTAACGATTCACTCGCAACCGATTGAAAATTGATAAAAATGTGTGATGATTCAAGTCGGTTGAAATGTTAAACGAATCACGATTCACGTTTTAAACAGCAGGGGTGTTTACTGAATAGCCTACTGTGAAGTTGTGAACCTCGCTTTACAGTCACAACAGCAGCGAGCACACAGTGGCGCGAACCTAGCGAGTGTTTTCACTTCATTCTTAAGGAACTTGAGCTTGTGTGAGCACTCATAGTAATGAACTGAAAACTCTTGGTTTGCTCCGCTCGCACCGCACCAGTGTGTGCCATAGACTGTGTGCACGTGCTGTCAAACACATGGCGACGGCAAGCGTAACGTTTAATGTTGACTCATTCAAATCGGAGCTGTGGCGGCATTTTGACTCTTCGTAGACTAATAATAATCACCATCGTGAGAAGCACATCACCTTCGTTTTCACGTAAAAGTCATTAATACGACAAGTGTGTGGGAGCTATGGAGATCACAAGGTGCGTCAGTGTTTCTATGGCAACCATATGTTGTATTTATTTTACTATCTCTTTTTCTCAATGTGTACATGGATTATTTATTTATTTTTTAAATAATTTGTTGATGGTTATGGCATATTTTGCTAAATAAGTTCTGTTCACATTTAACTCTTTCTAGTTTAATGATACAAATTATGACAAAATTAAAATCTTTCCTTCATTACAATGTAAAACGCCTGTCGATGTGGTAGGCCTACTAATATTACAGTCTTTTACTTAGTGTGCGAAGGTACCTGAGTGTCCAGCCTCTTGACCAGACAGACAGAAACACTGAGTTGAAACAACCTTGAAGGGATTTTTTTTTTCAATGTAGTTTTATTATTTGACAAATATATTTCAAAATGAAAAAGAAATGTGCACCATTTTGTTTGAGAAATAATAAAATAGATACTTTTTCATTTTTAATTCGTCTTAAATCTCATTTGTTTAAAAAATCACGAGAAAATCGTATCGCGAAACCAGTGTCGTGAATCGTATTCCATCGTGAGTTGAGTGAATCGGTATCCCTAACTACATGGGAGCTTAAATGTTCAATTCTCTCAAGTGTATAAAATAACTTCACAACTTTTACTTGCACTGATATACAGTAACACGACATTTTCTTTTAGTTGTCCTCTTTTATAGACAGCTATTTTCTTCTTGCTGTGTACATTTGTTTAAATTCTTAATATTTGTATTTATTAAGTAACTACTTCTCTCGCGAGAAATTAATTTCAATGAGTTTTGAACTAGTTTCACTCTTTCTCAGCATGCGATTGTCTGTTCGCTTCTGATGTCACACCTAAACTCCTAAACTCAGAATCAAAGCCTCAGTTGACAGAAAGTTGATGATCAGCATCATGGTACCAACAAAGCCTGGTTGGATTGGTTTGGTTTTGTCATCTCGAAACTAATCCTGCAACCCTGAGTTTGTTTAACTACCATCATGGTACAGGCCCCGGATCTTACTCCACTTCCAAACAAATTATTGCGGTTCGAATGAAATATGAACACAACAAGAACCAAAGACATGTAAACAAACCAAAAACAGGAAGATGTGGCCTTAAATAGCACAGAATGCTCAAGCAAACCTGTTTTTTCTCATCATAGTGGTGATGTTGCCCATCAGAAACGCATCTCCTCACAGCAGATCTTCATTTGTGTGTGATGGAGGGATTTCTTTCTTCACGAGTTCTCAGCTGGTCAAAATACCATCATATGTAGGCTACAAAGAGCGCATTTATCCCAGAACACAGCATTGTTTTAGATGTGTAATAAAAGACGACCAATCAGGTTGTGAACGTATCCCTATGCCTTTAGGTTTGGTGTTAAAATGCCAAAAGTGAACACATTGGCATTTTAACAAACTGAACTACAAGTGTGAACGCACCCATAGACATAATATAAATAAATTGCCTGTCCATTATAAAATCGTCATGTTTAACGTGTACTTTTTCTGTGCAGTGTTACTCCAGAGGCGTGTGGAGGAGGTCTCGAAGGTGTGTGAAAGCCGCAGCAAGGAACAGGAGAAGAGCTTTCGTTTAAACTTCCAGTGAACATGCATAAAATATGATTTTCAATCAGATGTAAATGAATGTCATTGTTTTTGTTATTTGCTTCAAAATAAAATCATTTCTTTTACCTGATTCGCTCTAATTAAGTTTCTTTGTGTTCTTATTGAATGCAGTTTTGCTAAATGATCAATTTTCACACACATTAGTGATGAAGTCATTGCAATGGCAGACCAGTGTATTATTTTATTTATAGAAATGTAAAATGAAGAATGTATCTGTAAACCAAGGACTTTCTCTTCCTGGTTTACACTTATGAGATAAAACCAGCCAATCAGCTGCATGGAGCTCCACCATAGCAACATGGATCCTGGCATTGTTTAATATCAAGCAATCCAAGTCTGCGTCTAGGGGGAAATAAATTCAAAATATAAAAAGCATGTTTTAAATGAGGTCGCAGGTTTATAAAGGGGACGAAATGACCACCGACATCTGCAGGTATGTCTGCTCATGCACACACACACGACCGACACATGTGCTGGAACACACAGACAGACTCCTCTCCTCCACATGCATGCAGTCTGTATGTTGAGTCTGTCTGAAGTGCAGTCTGCATTGCGATGCTTGCATAACAAACTGCAACTGCACGGTTGCTAAGCATATTGGGGTCATAACATGCATGAACATGAAACAAAATGCATGCCGTGATTTCCACACATTAATTATTACAGCACGCGCCGGTAACGGCAAGCATGTATCTGCCCAGAATGCATCATAGAACTAATGCCCTAGTTTCCCCTTCCATGCCGCACTTTATTTGCATTACATTATATATTATCTTTCTGTGCATTTCAAAAATGCACGCAAAGAGGTCGCGGACTGTCGTGTCAAAAGTGAACTGCATGTGACCACTCGCGTCCAGTGTGTTCCCAGAGCGCGCGCGCAGATCAGAGGAGTCTCGCGTGCGCCATTTTAGCGCGTCTCGAGCCATCCGGCAAGATGGCGCTCTCGCTTTGTCTGCCCTGATCGGCGTAAAACACAATTTACTTTTACCACACACGTGAAAATTGACCGGATCGAATGCAAAAACAGCTTTCCTCGCGGGGCCAAAACAGTGACATCTCGAAGATCTGCGCGTGTGAGGAGCATTGAGATCTTCAGGTAGGTGTAGGGATGTAGCCGGGTAATATGCGCGTGCATTTGTGCACTTTACATCCATGCATAAGTGTTGCGAATAGTTAGGGGGGTGTCATAATGATATTTAATGATGATTTCATCCTAATGTAGTGCATTGCTTTATGTTTTACAAGTAGTTTTCTTTATTCACCCTATTGTGGAGATATATCTGCATTGGTCGTGCAAAAACTAGGCCGTTCTCCACCAAATTCTCAGTACTTCATTAAAATGGCTGTTTTGGCGTAGATTTAGGGGATGTGTGTATTACTTTAGTGTCTCTCTATTGTGTTTTCTTTGTACATCAGCTCGTGTATTGAAAATTAATCAGTCAGTGTCAAACAAGTAGCCAAAACATCATGAACTGTCTGTAGCGAGACGATTTTTTTTTTTTTGCCCCACTCTCGTCTTATTCATGTATTTGGTTTGGTGGCATGTTTCTTACTCTTAATGTGAGCACGAGCTGATCGGTTTGTTTATGTTCGCTGTTATCAGTGCGTGTCTTCCGTCCTGTAACCGGCTGTTGTGTTTCGCGCTAATAGGAGACGGGCTCAGTGATGACGCCACCTGCCAATCAACAGAACCCGCTAAAACTCGCCTCACATTAATAACGGCTTTCATTTTCGGTCATTGCTAGTGTTTAACCTTAATTTCAGCTATTTATGTTTATTTAGACCTACATTGTTTTTTTTACGACATACAAAGTCACTTTTGTTTGTTGTTAACCGAGGTTTAAGCATGATTTTATTTTTCAAGGGACACATTTCGTAAATCAATGGACGGTGTGAATTCTGCTTCCTGTAGGCTACTATCATTTTGTTATCTTTATTAAATGAACTGTGGTTTCTTCCACAATATCTTAAGTACTAGCTTACAGTAATCCACTGATGTCCTTTTTTTGTGTTATAAAATTTAGCTCTTCCTACACTGAAATTCCTTATTCAATTCAGTCTGTGGTATTATTGTTTGTAAATGTGGCCTATTGTTTTCGTATGTCTTTGTTTCTTGATGCATACTATATCATGTGTTTCTTTCAGGTCCAGTAAGCTGAATACATTGGTGACTAAACTTCATGAGTTCTTGGGTAATTCTCCGGACGACGAAAGCATTGGTTCTCAAGACATTTCCAATGGTGAGGATAAGTGATGGGAAGTCTTCTCCAAAAGAGCCGATTCAAAGACTCTGAATTGTAGAGATCGACTAATATAGATTTTTTTTTAAATAACCCAATTCGATTATTTGGATGTGTATACATGCCTGAAAAAACGGTATAGCACACAGAACCATATGCGGTTAATTTACCACAACTGTAATTTCTAATAAATTATGTAAAACTAATCACATATTTATATTAATAAGCCATAAATCATAATAAAAAGCCTTCATAAATAATACATAGCCTAATCAGCACTCAAACGCACACATAATGCTTGCCACAGCTCATCTGCAAACCTAATGATTATGAATGTGTTGTGAAAAAACAGGAGATGACATTCTAACTCCTCTATTTTTTAATAATCTATTGTTAATGATCTATTGTTAATGTTTTCTGTTTTTTCTCGGCTATAAAGATTAAGAGCCAGTATACACTGAGGTTCGGTTGGTTTTGTTACGAGACTGAGAGTGCCCTGTTTGTTTTAATTATTTAACATAAGCACAATGTTTTGTTGTTATTGTGAGTTTAACAAATATAAAAGTAGATCCTTTATAGTTTGCATTACTCTTATCTGCATGTATATAAATATATAAATATATATTTTCAGTGAAATGTAAGTGATCACACACAAACGCTTGAATTTGTGGCTAATTGTATTCTGGAAATGTACATTTTATTACATATCATCCAAAACATAAGAGCAATGTTTCAAGTGATGGGCCATATTTGAGGTCGATGAATGATTGGCGAATGTTTTGATTTCCTGGCGTTAGCGATCCGTCCGTCGCGGACTGTGTGATTTCGCCACTTCCCGTGGAGTTTTTTTTTTTCTGCGACGACTAGATTAATACAATTTTGGTCGACAAAAACCTCATCTAGTCGACTATCAGGGGTCAGCCCTAAAATCAACTCTTGCTACGTCTGAAATGGCTCGCGGATTCTCTGATCCCTGTATAGTGTGTGGCAGTTGAGTGCACTTTATCAGCAACGAGTGAAGGAAATAAAGCGAGGAATTCAGACTCTGACGTATTACACAGTGCGAGAGGAGCTGTTGCAGAAACAACGGTCACACACTTTTATCCTGCATGGAGATTATTGTAGAAATACTAGTCAGAGTAACTTTAGTCTGTTTTATTAATGTTCATAATTGTTTATGACCATAAATATTTTTAAAAAGAATCACATCAAGCATAAGTACATGTACATTTTTTGTATTTATTATTTTTATTAACTTTAACTCTCCTCTCCTTTTAGCCTAGAGATGACCAAGGTTGTTTAGCACTATAATTGAGCGATATAAAAAGCTGAATTTGTTAAAACATTTAATTATTTAATTTTGACATAATATTCGACCATGGTTGTTTCTTGTGTCTTTTGCTGCTGTAAAATTCGGTATCGGAACAGCTAGGTAACGACGTTGATAATATTACCATTTCAAGGATAAAATGTCAACAATGAATTCGTCTAATTTGGACAGTCACGCTAAAACTGCGTTGTGTTAATAAGGCTTTGTGTTGGGGAAAAAAAAAGACTGAATATTTCCCAATAAAATTATTTGCATTTAATTCGCGATTATGTTATTCGTGATTGAAAATTGTATAGATGTATTGTAACTTTTGCTTTTCTCATATTTCAGGTAAAATGGCATCCAGTGACTTAAACATCCCTGATGAGAAAATGAATGAGGTGTGTGTCTACAGAGCCTGTTTTTTTTTTTTTTTTCTGTGTTTCTCTGCAGTTTAAACAGCTTTTCCCATCATTCTCTGCATAGATAAAGCATCCATTATACAACTAGGCCTAATGCACATCAATTTGTTGGCCTCGGGCTTCCTATCTTTCTTTGTGTATGTTAAATTGAAATCCAGCACTTACATTTTATTCCAACAATGTGAAGTCCAAAATCTCTTAATGTAATGATTGTAATGATTCCTGAATTGGTGTTAAAATATACAGATATTAAGATGTCCCTGTGGGCATTGTGGTTAGGACCCTTTTATGCAACACTAATATATGAGGCTAATGTTGCTTGAATAATTACTCAGTGCACACAGTTTATTCAGATATTATGTCTGTGATCTGCAAATCTGTTTTTAAAACATTTGCACTGTAAAAATGCTTTTCTTAAGAATTTTTAGATATTAGGACTGGAAACAAGACAAAAATGCTAAGCAAAATGACTTGCTGGTGGGGTTAGAAAAATAATTTTGTTTATGTTTGAATTAAGATAATTTTTTTTTTTTTGTACCACATAGTCAGATCATTTAGCTTTTTTTAAGCAACAACTTCTTTAGCTTTGATTGATTTCCCCAGAAAACAAAACATGGCTTTTTTCTCTAGTAAATGCATCTTGATTTAAGATTTTTTTGGTACTTGGACTGGTGAAAACAAGACAAAAATACTAAGTAAGAAAAGCATGTTTTGCAGTGTGGAGAGTTGAATTAGTGACATGTGGATTTAAAATCACTGAAAATGAAATTTTCTTTTCTTTTTTCCAGCCCGGTTGCTCCTCCGAAATGACCAAACCCTCATCTTCACGCTCAAAGAGGTGAGTTGCACTCATTGTTTTGGCTCTGGCTCTTATCTAGTGAAATAGCTGGACTGAACTGATACCGTCTATGTTGTCTTATGCTGTGTTCAGTTCAAAACCAGATGTGGGCTATTCCCTAGGGAATTTGGTCATCTGATCTTAAGGCCATTAAATGTCACGTGTGTGTATTTCCTTGATCTGAGCATTTCATTTTGAGATGTAGTCTTAAATCTGATGGAAAAATATAGCCCTTTAGGCTAAAATCAACATTGTCACTTG